ATTGCGAAACTCCCGCCTATTCTCTACAGTTGTAGAAGATTCTCGAGTGTAAGAATCAACAATATATATGTATGTACGTAAACGCTTAATGTAGATTTGTATTGTTACGTAAACTGAATTTTCTAGAAACTCTTCACACGCATATAATTATGACCAATGCGATGCGCCAAAAAGTAGTATCTATTATTAGTTTGCTGTAGTCAGTGTGCTATAAACTTTGGAAGCTATAACTGTGATTGTTATAGCACTTATGAATTGGAAAACTTCAGATATTTGACCAGGAACGTTTACAAAGTTCGAAAATTAAAAATTATTTAACTTCAGTGGATTCTCATCTGACATTAGTATTTTTACGAAAACATTATATAACTTCATCGTGGAAAACTCGGCGTGTATGGCTGGTGAATAACGAAGGACAACGCTAGCTAGTTTCCCGTTAAGCGAATCGTACCTACATCAACTCGTAATTATCTTGCTCATCCTGAACCCTCGATAAGATATCAAGGAAGTTCCAGACTAGAAAGAAGTTTGTAAAATTTTTGTATATAAATCATTGTGTGTAATAACTATTTGTAATAACTGTTATTATAAATTATATTGTTGTTTATATATTAAAATATATTTGTGTTAAAAAAGAAAACTGTATGTATCAATCTTGTTGGCAAATATCTTAAACTGACTACATAACGGCTTTTACTTAACTGCTAAATCCAAAGTACAATTTAACTCAATTTTAGACCATTCGAAATTGTAATACGTAACATATTATTGTTAATAATTATTTTATTGTTCAATTTCCTTAAAAAGGACATTACTATGCTGTTCAATTGCTGATATTAAATTTAGGATTTTTCTAATTAGGCAAAAAAAATTTTAGTGGGCTTGTCTTTTGTTTTGTATGAAGCCATTCCTCCGAGTTAGAAAAATTTTAGGGTGAACTGTATCTTATCAAGAAAGCTAAGCTCAGTCAAATAAAAGTTTTTGTTTGTTGTTGCAACGTGTTGTCTGTTCTCTGCCCACAGCGAGTATCGAAACCTGATTTCTAATGTTATAAGTAATCAGACTTTCCGCTGAGCCACCGGAGGAATAGCCAAATAAATGCGAAGAAGAAGCCTTATATAAACCACTGGTTTTAATTAACACGAATGGTGTTTTTTTAAGCCTTATTTCTTTTTACTGATAGATACACTTCTATATTACAGAAATTCTTTGGAATTAATTATATCCGCTATTTGGATCCTGAATTACTAATATCGGTGGAATTTTTTGCAACCGGTGTTGTGTGGAGGAGCAAGCCAAAGGAAATTATTGTCAAGCCTTGCAATAAGTTTTTTCTTCTCACCTAAAATGAATGCAGAAAATAGCAGGAAACCTTCTAGACCAATCAAGATGATTAACGAATCTATCGGTAGCAGATTTCGTGCATGTCATCTGAATTACTGCGATATATTAAGGTGCATCTATCACTAAGTAAGAAAATGATTAAAAAAAAAGACATTGAAAACGCTACTCTCATGAAACTTTGTAGTTAGTGTCCAAATCATATTAAAAAAAAAGAAAACTTTTTTCTCCCTCGAAACGAAAATTTCTATCGGAAAGAAAATTTTCTTATATCGTTGTTGATTATCTCACCACTTGAAGAGTACAAATGTTTTAGGCTGTTTTATCCAGTTTAGGATATTTCTATACCTTTTTCTTATTTTTTGAGAGCTAATAACGATAATTATGACAATGTAGATAATAGAAAAAATCAGACTTCTTGTGCTGATTTTTAAACGGTAGGTAATTCTTTTCTCCAGGTCCAGTGACTTACAAGCCAGGAGAAGCTCTAGGGGCTCCCGATCATCCCCACAGGGGCTTTGAGACTGTTACATACGTCATTCAGGGAGGAGTCAAACATGAAGATTCGGCTGGAAATAAAGGTACGATAAACAAGACAATTTGGAAAAGAATTTCTAAAACTAAAAACAACCAGATTTGAATCGTAAAAACGACATTAAGATATTCAAAAACCATGGTCATTTTACGTTTAGAATGAGAGTGTAAGGTCGTACGTTCACTCTTTGTTTATACTTTTTAAGTTTTAAATATGCAAAAAATATAGCCCAAAAATCGTTGAGAGTCAAAGTGGACAATTACTTAAATTATGTGCTGCCCTATCATTACTTTTGAAAATAACATGACAAACAGCTAATACTAATCTACGATTCCTTTGTCAACTAAACATGTTATCATTTAACCCAGGGTTTTCAAACTTAGTATATATATACTATATATACTTGCACCTTTAAGCCTTGCATAATAATTTCTTTAAAATGAATTGTAGGTATTTTCGATCGAACAAATTAATATATTTCATTCATTCTAGTTGAATGTTCAAGTTCTTCAAAAACCATTAAGGAAATAGTAATGTGAAACTGATTGACGGGGAAAACGTTTAACTATGGAAGGGAAAAGTATTTAACGCAAAACATTTCATAAAGAACGTTTCGAAAACGCAGTTGCTACAATATTATTATAGCCATACGTTCACATTATTCTAAGGAAACAGATTTTTATGTTTTTATGTCACAAAAACGTCACTAGAAGATATTGTTGTTTAAGAAGTTTTAAGCAGAGATTAAGCCCGTAGGCGTACATTGATTGGACAGTGTTGTATTGAAAGTCAACTGAAATCTACATTCGGACACCTTGACGTACATCTTTTTACGTCATAATGGATTTGAACCCAGTGTTGTGCATTTCGCAACCTTTTTCATCGCGAAAAATAATTGTCGTGAAATACACCATTTATTTATAATAAACAATCTAAAAACTGCAATTATCTTTCTTTACGACTGAAGGAGAACTACGAAGTGGATGGGTGCAGTGGATGAGAGCCGGTAGTGGATTGGTCCACAGCGAGATGCCAACCGAAGATTTGATTCGTGACGGAGGAACGTGGGAGGGATTTCAACTGTGGATTAATCTACCTTCAAAGGTTAACAAAGATAGATAAATACTTTAAAAAGTTGGTGATTTTGTAATAATATATTTTTAGAATTCACGAAGATTAGCGCCATTAGAATCAAAACGTTTTAATTCAGTGTGAATTCAAGATGAAAAAGTGCAACATATATTTCTTAATTATGTTTTTAACAGTCAAGCGCTTTTTAGTGTAATTTGAAAAGATGGAGCGTTTAATGATTTTTTATGTTTCTGTAAATAATGGTTTTATTGAAGACCTTGAACACAATATTTTTCTAATTGTTTCACAGCTATGAATAAGCATCCTTGCAAGTGAATAATCTATTTTTTATATCGAATTTTTCGTCGAATGTTTTTAATGTATTAGGACAAAATGATTCCGCCGAGCTACAAAGACATTCCACCTGAGTCAATACCTGTAGTTGAGGACCCACAAGGTGGAGCCACCGTGAAAGTCATTGCCGGCGAATGTAAAGGTGAAAACCTATTGCTTTTCAGTGTCTGTAAAGAGTAATATAGAATAGTGGCATGTTTAAATGAAAATAGTCAATGTTTGTCATTTAGATAGTTTTAACCTTAATATTTCATTCTTCATAACGTATCTGTTTATATAATAATACGTAATGCACAATGCACAATACCACTATTAGACCAATTTATTTCCGGCAAACAAACAAAACAACAACTGGTAATAAGTATGGTATTACAGCACAATAACATTGATTATAGTTTTAATTACATTTTTCTCTACTGGCCAGATTCACATCTCGATAAGAAGAATGTATAATATTTAAGTTACACTTTGCCGACGAGACCTTTCTCATCATGCCATTCTTCAGGCCGGCTAGGTTGAAACGCTGTTTACATCGGTCATTTACAAAGCATCAAGCTATAGGGTGAATAACGTCTTAGCTGATGTAGTAAAACCAATGTTTTGTTCAATGTCCCAGTTAATTCTGTATGGGTCGTAGGAAGAAAAGAAGCAAAAAAGATATTGAACTGTACATCCATGTAATTCCTGCTTTGGTATAAATATGCATATTTTTTAAATAACAACGAAAAATACATTATTATTTATAGAGAATCAAGTATCATTTGTATAGCTTGTTGTGCTTATTTGTTAAGTTTCGAAATTATACTTTGATTCCTGTCAACTATCACGATATAACTAAAAAAACGACAGAACCAACGATGCTGGCCCGGCATGGCCAGGTGGTTAAGACACTTGACTCGCAATCTGAGGGTCGCGGGTTCGAATCCATGTCACACCAAACATGCTCGCCCATTCAG